TTCAACATCCACAAATCAATCAATGTGATACACCACATTAACAAAATGAAGAATAAAAATCACATGATCATCTCACTAGATGCAGAGAAAGCATTTGACCAGATCCAACATCCATTTATGATCAAAACTCAATAAAATGGATATAGAAGGAAAGTATCTCAACATAATAAAGGCCCTATATGACAAACCCACAGCTAACATCACAATGGTGAAAAACAAAGCCATCCCTCTGAGAACAGGAACAAGACAAGCATGCCCACTGTCACCACTCTTATTCAATATAATATTGGAAGTTTTAACCAGAGCTATGAGACAAGAAAAAGAAGAAAAAGCACCCAAATTGGAAAGGAAAAAGTAAAACTGTCGCTATTTGGAGATAACATGATTCTATATATAGAACACCCTAAGAATCCACAAAAAAAAAAAAACTATCAGAAATAATTAACAAATACAATAAAGTTTCAGGGTACAAAATCAACATATAAAAATCATTTGCATTTCTATACACAAATTAGCATAAAGAAAATCAAGAATACAATCTCATTTACAATTGCAACAAGAAGAATAAAATACCTAGGAATAAATTTAATGAAGGATATGAAAGACCTATACACTAAAAACTATAAGACGTTATTGAAAGAAATTGAAGAAGATATAAAGAAATGGAAAGATATTCCATGCTCATGGATTGGAAGAATAAACATAGTTAATATGTCCATATTACCTAAAGCAATCTACAGAGTCAGTGCAATCCCAATCAGAATCCCAATAACATTCTTCATGGCGATAGAACAAAGAATCCTAAAATTTATATGGAACAAGAAGAGACCCTGAATAGCCAAAGCAATCCTGAGAAAAATGAACAAAGCTGGAGGTATCATACTTCCTGAATTCAAAGTATACTACAAAGCTGTAGTAATCAAAACAGTACAGTACCGGCAAAAAAACAGACACACAGATCAATAGAACAGAACTGAAAGCCCAGAAATGAAACCACACATCTATGGACAGCTAATCTTTGACAAAGGTGCAAACACACAATGGAGAAAAGAAGATATACAGATGGCCAACTGGCACATTTGGGAAGGACCTGATGCGGTTCAGGGCAGGCTGCCCCAAGATGTGCCACTCTGGTAGGCAGATTATTTAGAGCTGAAGACAATAAAGGCTCAGAAGACTACGAAATCAACTTTGACCTCCCCCACACACACACTAATTGCCTAAAAGGATTTAAGATAGAAGGCTTGTCCCCAGGACGGGCCATCACCACAGATAACAATGGGTATCAATAGCCCGGGAGAGTCCTTGCTAAGCCCATTCTTGTCAAAGTTCTGTTTACCAAACATATACCTTTGTAAGGGAAATCTCCATTTGTAAAGATATCTCCCTGTCTGTACTGGGAAAAAGGGAGGATGACCTCATCTCTAGAAACTTATCAATGCAGGAGGTGAAGCCTTAAATCTGCATAATAACCTTACTCTTGTTTACTGTGCTTTTTCAGGTAATCTCCCATAGCTGACCTTCCCCCAACCCCAACATCCTCCTTTGTCTTGACCTGAATCTATTTAAGAAGAGAACCTCTGCCCATTTTGTCGAGTTACCCAGTTTTCCCGGGTTTCTCCCATGTATACGTTATAAAGCTTTGTTTGATTTTCTCCTACTATTCAGTCTCATGACAATTTAATTTTCAGCACAGCCAGAAAGGACTCAGAGTGGGTAGAGGATAGTCTTCCTCCCCTTCAGACCCATCCACTGAATCATGGAAACTAGAAGTTGGTGCACAAGAGGAGGCAGAGGGAGTGTGATGACAGGCTTTGTGGACACGTTGAGGCAGAGAAGTCCTTAAGTAGCTGAATAAATCTGTCTGGCTCTTGAAAATGGAAACTGATAGCTGAGATGGAGATAAGAATTCAGGGGCTATGAGGTCCCTGAGTGCTTGGGATGGGAAGAACAGAAGGGCAATAGAGCAGGTAGGTGGCTAACAGGGGTGTCAGGTCACCATTGAAGGGAGAAATTAGGCAAGAAACTGCTCCACAGTTGGGTCAACTGTTCAAAGAACAAACATCTGCCTATGTGCCCTCTACATCTTTGACCTGGCATTGGAGACCCAACCCAAGCTTTGGGAACAGAAGTTCCCTGATGATCTGCTAGCCTGCCAGGTAAGCCTTCTACTCCATTTATTTATCCTCCCTCAAGACTGGTTGTTATAAACCAGAGCCTCCCTGCTTGCCCTCTGAGCTTCCTGACCCCACCAAGTGCCCTCACCAGTTCCAGGGCCTGGGAGGGAGCTTTCCTTTTGACAAATACTTAGTTAGGATGTATTATGATAAGAGAAGCCCTGAAGGCTGGAGCAGGCAGTTCCTGAGAGAGACAGACAGACAGACAGACAGCCAGAGCATGCACACAGTTGTAAAGCCCTAGGGGCACAAGGTTTTGTTACTGCCCAAGGGGGGTCATCTGCCCACTGCAAGACATGCCAATAGTCAAGAGGCAAGGTGGTAGGAGAGAAAGGGTTTTATTACAGCTTGCTAGCAAGGAGGAAGACGGCTGACTAATGTCCGAAAGAACCATCTTACAGAACAAAGACTACAGGCCAGTTATATAGAGGGCTTGTCTCTGGGTGGGGGAGGCAGCCAGTCTCTGGGTGGGGCAGACACCTGATCTTAGTTCCTGATAATCTTTTGTTCTACTGGACATGCATCAGAGACTGGAGCAATGCCCAACCCTCAGATCTTTCAGTTGTCATTGATGATGGCTCTCAGCATAATCTCTCTGCCCAGGGGTCATCACATTCCTAAGGAAATCAAAAGAACTAAATTATCAACTTATCGAAACTGGGAGGGGCCATAAAATCTACAGAGCATGTATATCTCCTGGAGGGTGCATATCCAGCTGGGGTAGTTAACCAGAGGTCATTCAAAGTTACAATATGGTTTCTTTTCTACAATATGGCTTCCCTTATGTCAACCTTGTGTTGAGCTGGTATCAGTCTTCTATCCCTCTCTCCACCCCAGGCCTGAAGCAATGTCCCAAGCTGGCCTTCCAAACCAACTCTGCAGATTTCCCAATGCTCAACTCCCTTGGAACTCAGATTTGGAGCAAGAATCTATGCACTGAAGGGCACCTCATGGATGGACAATGCAAATGAGGCACAGAGAGGAGCAACTTGGCCAAGTCACACACTTAGAGTCAGTGCCAAGAAGGCTCTAGCCTCCTGGCTCCTACGAATAAACTTCGGGAAACAGGGGCTCCCATTTGCTGTTGGAGAAACTGTAAACCACCATTCCTGCAATCTCTTAGCAGCCTAATATAATATAATTAAAATGAAAATATATGCATAATAATTAAAATACAAAATATGCATACCCTATGACCCAGAAATCCCTCTTCTGAGAATTATCTGATGAAAATACAACTACTAGTATATAAAGACAGACGAAATGGATTTCTCTGGCAGCTTTGCTTGTAATTTCAACATCTGTTAACAGGGAATGGTTAAATAACTTATGCTACATAAAAAATATGCTGTGGGATACTATGGAGCTATTTGAAAGAATGGGAAAGGATGTCCCTGATTCACTGCTTAGAGGAAAGAAGCAAACTGAAGCCAAGTGTGTGCACTGTAATGGATCCTGTTTCCGCAGCGAGGCGCTGAGGAAGGCACTCCAGGCAGGCGGAGCTGGGCTGGGACCCAGCTCTGCGGGAGTTGGGGAGGTGCTCTGGCCAAGAACAGAAGACCCTTCCTCAGTCTCTGAGGATTCTGGGACCCAGATTTGACCCTCTTCTCCTCCAACATGGCCAGGCCACCAGAGAGAGCCCACCTTGGGGTGGGTGCCAGGCAGGGCAGGGATTCCTGAGTGGGGTGGGGTTGGCTCTCCCACCTCTGAAAGGCTGAGAGCTTACAAGAGGAGGAGCCAGTGATGGGCAAGAAGCAAACTGGCTTGGCGGACAGCATTTCCTCTGCCACCTTGCTAGGAAGAGCGTCTTTGCTAATGTAAGCTCTGTGCTGGGTGAAGGGGCATGAGTCCATTTCTTTTCTTTTTCTTTTTCTTTTTCTTTTCTTTTCTAACAGAAAAGAAATCTTACAGTCCAAATCCAATCCAGTCTAGAAGACGGAGCAAAGTGCTCTCTAGTCCCCACGGAGTCCCACTATCAGTCCCCAAAGAGTCTACCAAATAAGCTTCCAGGAGTCACTCCTCTCCTCCCCCAGGGTCCTGACTTCTGCCTGGTATTCCACCCAGTGGTCCCTGGAAGGGAGAGGGGAGAGTCATAGCTCTTGCTTCTAGAAGTGTGGCTCATGGACCAGCAGCAGCAGCAGCCCGTAGGACTGATTAGCCTCAGAATCTGCATTTTAACAAGGTCTCCAAGGGATTCTTAGGACCATCAAAATCTGAGAGCGCAGTTCTAGGACCCAGGCCCTCTGAAGGGGACTCTGGTTATGAAAGTGAATTGTCTGTAGAAAGTCTTTTTCTTGCAAGTATTGACAACTTTCCACGGCCTCACTTCAGTGAGTTAGTATGTCGGCAGGCTCCTCCTCTCAATCTCCTTCTCAGTCTTGCTAAAACCCCTTTCCAGAAGAGGGTGGGGAAAGCGAGAAAAGAAGGGAGTGGAGGGAAAGAAAACCCACGCTGGCACACTAAAAACGGTAGGAAGGGAAAGAGGGAGGGAAGGAAAGAAAGGAGGGAGGGAGGCAGGCAGGCAGCATAAGAACAGCAGTTCTTTCAAAGGGACCTGTGGCCACAAGGAAGGGTCCTGCATCTTCCCCATCCACTTCTCTGTTTCCCGTCCTGGAAAGTCATCCAAGTGGTTCCTCTCTTAGTTTTCCACATGACTAAACCCCACGGGTCTCATCTAATCATACCGCGGGCCGCGTGGCTGCCTCTCTCCAGTTCCTCCAGTGCCCGCAGATCCCGGCGGAGGTGTAGACCTGAGCACACAGCCCACCCCCTCCCACCCTCCTTCCCCCACACCAACGCCAAGGAGGGTTCTCACCAGTGGCCTGGCCGAGTGTGGGGGCTGGCCTGGGGTCTCCAGACGCTCACAACATGGAAGGGTCCATCCGACTCCTGGCCTGCTTGGTGTGCATTGTCCCGATGGGTGAGTTTCCCATTTTTCTCTCTGGCCCATGCTCAGAACAGAATAGATGCTTACAAAATCCTAGGTACAGTCTTCTCTCCTTGAACTTGGGGCAGCTGAGTTTACCCAGAGCCTCCAGGCCTGTGGAGGAGGATGAGGAGGTGGGGTTTGGGAGGCTGTGGTGACAGAAGCCAGATGAACTTCTGGCTTTGCCTTGGGTTCTCAGTGACTTGAGGCAGTCCCCTAGCTTCTCTGGGCCTCAGGAGCCCCTCCTGTAGAAAGGCCACCTGACACACCCATTGCTGTGAGGATCCAGAAGGATAATGCGCAAGCTTTGGGGAGGACAGTACAGACTCTGAACAGACTTTGCTGTCACCCAAGTGCTTTATGTCATTATGGGCACAGCCCAAGGAGAGGGGAGGAGAGCACACAGTTGTTTGGGGTAAGGGTGGGATGATTTCACATGGGGAATAGGACAAGTGACAGAGGGCACCCTGACTGCCCAGCAGGAACCTCAAGGGGTGAGAGGGAATTTTTCGTGGCAGGCTTAAGTAACAGTGTCCTCAGTCACTTAGTTCAGTGAATTAGTGTCCCTGGGAACAGTGTTTCTCCAAGGATGGTCAGAGACCATCTGCATCAGAACCCCAGGGGAGGGGACATGTGGTTAAATGCAGATACTTTGGCTCCATCCCAGACCTGCAGAATCAGAATATCAGGCAGCAGGGCCCAGGAATCTGCATTTTAAACCGTCTTCTTGTATGAGTCTGATGCACAATGCAGTTGAGGGCAACGGGGATAAGTGACAAAGGCCGTCCTTGTGAGCCCTCTGTCCAGGCCCCAGTCTTTTCCTTGACCCCAGGCTGAGACGTCCACCCCAGGCTGTGACTGTGCTCCTGGACTCAGGGTCCATGCCTCTGTGTGCACAGCCACTGGCCGTCACGTGCCCCATGGTGACATCGCTGACATCATAATGTTCTGAGCTGTTAGTCAATATTCCTCGTATGGAGTTCTGTCTCCACCAATGGACTGCAAACTCCCACTCCTTGGGCTCCTTTTCCTTCCTCTCTAGCATTCAATACGGAGCGGAGTCCAGTTCGAGTCTGGTTTGGATAGTAACAGCAATGCCTACGTTGCTCTTACGAAGTGCTGGGCACTTTAATTAGTAACTCATGAAAGCCTCATAACCCTATGAGAAAGGAACTATTATATTCTTTTTTCACAGATGAGAAAACTGAGGCACAGAAAGGTTCAGAGAATGGTGTGAGATGGAGCTGGGGTTTGAACCCAGGTGTTTGTGGCCCTAGACTGGACCACCCCACCGCCCCACCTCGTGCTGCCTGTTGTCCTGTGCACAGAGCTCTGTGGTGGAGGCTGATAGGGAAGCGGCTTTCTTTTCCCAAGTTGACCTAACTCAGCAGTCTTTCTGGGATGATTTCAGGTTGGGTCTCACTTAGGGGGTGGAGGCTGGAGGATGTGACCCTGCCCAGACCTGAGGCAGATAGAAGAGCTGTTCAGGACGTGAGTGTTGAAGTCAGAAATGGCTTTGAACCCTGGTTCTGTATCTACTAGCTAGGTGGCCCTGGGTGGGTTGCCTAACTTCTCTGAGCCTCGGTAAAGTGGGGTCCCTGCCACCTCATGGAGGGGTTGCAAAAGATAATCAGATCACGGATGAATGGCCCCAGCACAGCAGTGAAACATTACTGAAATAACATAACTTCAAGAAAGGCTAGGTTTTGGGGGGTTTTTTGTTTTGGTTTAGTTTTTTTTCTTCTACTGAGTGTCAGTTGCTATGAATCAGTTAAAGACAAAAGGATTTAGAGGAAGCATGAGCAGTCACATGTTCAAGAACAAAACCTAAACCACACAAATGCTCCAGCTGTGTGTCGAGATTACCCAGGGAGGCCAAGCCACATGCATGAGCCATCTCGGTGAGGAGACCCTTTTTCTTTTCACACTCGCAGCTGCTTCACTGCTAAAACCACAAGGTCTGTGAACTAGAGTGAGCAGGGCCCCAGTTTCTGAAACCCCTCTGGTGTAGTTCACCTGTGAGCTTCTCCATGTGGCAGTGGGCCTGGGCAAGGGGCTGGAGGACCAGGCTAGGCTCAGCTGCGATGTGAGATCCCAAGGGGGCTCGTGCTAATGTGGGCCCATGGGTCATAGTCATGTCCCTGTCCACTTCTCTGAGTGTGGGGGCAAGGGTAGGCCCTTGGCAAAAGCAAAGTGGGAAGAATTTGTCCTGAGAACCCCCTCCCCTTCCCATGCCCTTCTTCCTCATACCAGTGCCACCCACCCCCAGCACCCACTGCCCTGGGCAGCCTCTAATCTCCCAGGGACTCTCCACACACTCTCCCCCCACATCTGCTTTTAGAAAGCTGGAGATGCCAGGGAACATGGGGGGATGGGAAGAACAATGGTCTGGGAGCTCTGACTGCTTGGGTGACCTTGGACAAGACCTCACTTGGTCCATAAATCTCTGATAAACAGGAGCAGCAATCACAGTAGCTGTCATCCTCAAGGACTTCTGTGCCAGGCCTTTGACAAGTAACTCATGTACTCTTCACCACAACCCTGCAGTGTGAGGACCCTTGTCCCTACTTTAGGAAGTTCGGGTGACTTTTCTGGAGTATCACAGTCTAAAGGTGAACTGGAGTCCTCCAAGGGCAAACCCACCCTTTACACAGCCTGCATGCAGCAGTGCTGAGCCTGGGGGGCAAAGCTTGGTGCTCAGAAGAATTTACTTTACTAGCTCTGAATCTCTGCAGACAAACAAACCGAAAAGGCAAGACAAACGGCAGCCGTCACCCAAGGAGGTGGAGGCACTTGTTTGGGACACAGGGAAAGGTCAGGGAGGAGCTGGGCTGCTCTGAGGGCTCCAGGAGGAAATGGGAGGGTTTAAGGAGCCAGGACGCTTCTGATCCCAGTGGCTACTTTAGCCAGTGGCTTTGACCGAGGAGTCCTACCCCTGGGAGGAGGGGGAGTGAAGGGGAGCAGGGCCCTGGAGGAGGCCAGGGAAGCACAGCAGGGACAGACTAAATGGGAACTCTGAAGAGCAGTGCCCTGTGGCAGAAACTGGCCCTGGGAGGGGTCAGCTCAGGCGAGCAGGTCTACATCCACAACCAGGCAGCAGAGAGGTAAGGGTTAAGGGGGATCCGGGGGATCCCAGAGGCAGGAGAACAGCCAGGCCTTTCCTCACAGGTCCCTGTACCTCACGGCTTCCCTAGAATCTTCCAGGTCTGGGTCACACCAAAGGATGGAATCCCTGTTTCATCTCTCTCCTTTCCCTTCTGGTCTCTACCCCTTTCTCACCTTTTCTCCACTGATAACCTATCTGGACAATGTGCAGGCCCAGAAAGAAGAACTTCCGGGAGCAAACTGAGGGGCAGGAGGGAAGTGGATGAAAGGCCATGTGTTCCAGCTCAACCCGCACTGACCTGTGAGGTTTGGTGGCCAAGATGAACATCTCTCCTTGGCCCCCAAAATGTCCTCTCCTGACCCGCCAGGTGCCACAATGCCTGAGAGGCCACCAATGGAGTCACTCTCTGAGAACACCCCTGTTAACATGCCAAGATGTCCCCAAGGAGGGTAGCCCCCTTGTGGATAGTTGAACTCATCAGATTGGCTGCCTGTCAACTGGTAATGTCAGCCATCATGGGGGTGAGAGAGGGACAGCAGCACAGCAGATCTCAGAGGGACACCAGCTCTGAGTGCCACAAAGCTATCTCTCCGGAAGGCATAGTCTGTCTGTGGGGATTGCCCACCTGGTGTCATCCTCCCCCTCCTCAAAGTCCATAACTTGTTTCCTCCAGAAAACTGTCACATAAAGCCCAGCCCAGCAGACTTAATTCTTGTTCTGTGAGGGCACTCTCACTGGCCATTGTCCTACCAAGACCACCTCCAGGCTCACTTTCCTGTCTGTGATCCATGGACGGCAACTGACCCACACTCTGTGATAAAATTGATAAGCAGTTTTCTCTACAGTTTACATAAGTGTGATTCACAGACACGCTGCAAATGACCTACAGAGAGGCTGCCATGCACATTCCTGCTTCCCTCCTCACCAAGGAACTGGTGGAAATCCTTGGTCAGCTGTGGCCAAAACCAAGGTTTCTATTTCTGCCAATCCAGTTTCTGCAGATATGTTTCCATCTCCCACAAGTTCTCATCCCACCCTGGCACCACTGGCACAGGGCTTTGGAAGAATGGGTCCAGGGTGAATCAACTACCCTTGAGCTGAGTCACGATTATGATTACGTGGGAGCTGGTGCTCAATGCTGCAGCCCCAGCACCTCCCCACTGAGCACTGGTCACCAAGAGGATTTGTAAGGGAGTCCTGTGCAGAGTTTAGTAAATGGCTGCGTGAGACCATTAAGGCTGGGATGCATCTTTCCAAGTAGCTAAGTTTTCTGGATAGCTAATGGCTTATTTTTAAGTACCTAAAAGTCTTTTAATTTGTTTTAGATAGACATATTTCTAAAATGCTTTATGGACATCCTTGTCATTTTTATCCAAATATCATTTTCAGATATAGACTTTTTTTTTTTTCTTTTTGGATGATGAAGATGGCCCTGAGCTAACATCCATTGCCGATCTTCCTATTTTTGCTTGAGGAAGATTGTCTCTGAGCTACCATTTGTGCCAATCCTCCTCTATTTTATATGTGGAGAGTGAGCGAACTTAACCACTACACTACCAGGCCGGCCCAGACATAGACTTTTAAACTTAAAAGTCACCTTAGGGGCTGGCCCGGTGGCATAGTGGTTAAGTTCGTGTGCTCCACTTCGGTGGCCTGGGGTTCATGGGTTTGGATCTTGGGCATGGACCTACGCACTGCTTATCAAAGCATGCTGTGGCAGGCGTCCCACATCCAAAGTAAAGGAAGATGGGCATGGATGTTAGCCGAGGGCCAATCTTCCTCAGCAAAAAGAGGAGGATTGGCAACAGATATTAGCTCAGGGCTAATCTTCCTCACCAAAAAAAAAAAAAAAAATCACCTTAGTAAACATCTAGAGACATCATTTCAC